GGACGTGGACATGGTCGTGGACGTGGACGTGGACGTGGACGTGGACGTGGACATGGTCGTGGACGTGGACGTGGACGTGGACGTGGACATGGACGTGGACGTGGACGTGGACATGGACGTGGACGTGGACGTGGACATGGACGTGGACGTGGACGTGGAGGACTTGGAGGTGGACATGGACGTGGACGTGGACGTGGACGTGGACGTGGACATGGACGTGGACGTGGACGTGGACGTGGACGTGGACGTACGTGAACATGGACGTGGACGTGGAGAACTTGGAGGTGGACATGGACGTGGACGTGGACGTGGACGTGGACATGGACGTGGACGTGGACGTGGACATGGACGTGGAGTGGACGTGGACGTGGACGTGGACGTGGACATGGACGTGGACGTGGACGTGGACGTGGACGTGGACGTGGACGTGGACATGGTCGTGGACGTGGACGTGGACGTGGACGTGGACGTGGACGTGGACGTGGACGTGGACTTGGACGTGGACGTGGACGTGGACGTGGACGTGGACGTGGACGTGGACGTGGACGTGGACGTGGACGTGTGGACGTGGACGTGGACGTGGACGTGGACGTGGACGTGGACGTGGACGTGGACGTGGACGTGGACGTGTGGACGTGGACGTGGACCTGGACGTGGACGTGGACGTGGACGTAGACGTGGACCTGGACGTGGACGTGGACGTGGACGTGGACGTAGACGTGGACGTGGACGTGGACGTGGACGTGGACGTGGTCGTGGACGTGGTCGTGGACGTGGACGTGGAGGTGGACGGACGTGGACGTGGACGTGGACATGGACGTGGACGTGTGGACGTGGATGTGGATATGGACGTGGACGTGGACCTGGACGTGGACGTGGACGTGGACGTGGACGTGGACGTGGACGTGGACGTGGACGTGGACCTGGACCTGGACCTGGACCTGGACGTGGACGTGGATGTGGACGTGGACGTGGTCGTGGACGTGGACGTTGACGTGGACGTGGACGTGGAGGTGGAGGTGGACGTGGACGTGGACGTGGACGTGGACGTGGTCGTGGACGTGGTCGTGGACGTGGACGTGGACGTGGACGTGGACCTGGACGTGGACCTGGACGTGGACGTGGACGTGGACGTGGACGTGGACCTGGTCGTGGACGTGGACGTGGACGTGGACGTGGACGTGGACGTGGACATGGTCGTGGACGTGGACGTGGACATGGACGTGGACATGGACGTGGACGTGGACGTGGACATGGACGTGGACGTGGACGTGGAGGACTTGGAGGTGGACATGGACGTGGACGTGGACATGGACGCGGACGTGGACGTGGACGTGGACATGGACGTGTACGTGGACATGGACGCGGACGTGGACGTGGACATGGTCGTGGACGTGGACGTGGACATGGACGTGGACGTGGACGTGGACGTGGACATGGACATGGACGTGGACGTGGACGTGGACATGGACGTGGACGTGGACCTGGACGTGGACGTGGACGTGGACGTGGACGTGGTCGTGGACGTGGTCCTGGACGTGGACGTGGACATGGAGGTGGACGTGGACGTGGACGTGGACGTGGACGTGGTCGTGGACGTGGTCGTGGACGTGGACGTGGACGTGGACGTGGACGTGGACGTGGACGTGGACGTGGTCGTGGACGTGGTCGTGGACGTGGACGTGGACGTGGACGTAGACGTGGACATGGACGTGGACGTGGACGTGGACGTGGACGTGGACGTGGACATGGTCGTGGACGTGGACGTGGACGTGGACGTGGACGTGGACATGGTCGTGACGTGGACGTGGACGTGGACATGGACGTGGACGTGGACGTGGACATGGACGTGGACGTGGACGTGGAGGACTTGGAGGTGGACATGGACGTGGACGTGGACGTGGACGTGGACATGGACGTGGACGTGGACGTGGACGTGGACGTGGACGTACGTGAACATGGACGTGGACGTGGAGAACTTGGAGGTGGACATGGACGTGGACGTGGACGTGGACGTGGACATGGACGTGGACGTGGACGTGGACATGGACGTGGAGTGGACGTGGACGTGGACGTGGACGTGGACATGGACGTGGACGTGGACGTGGACGTGGACGTGGACGTGGACGTGGACATGGTCGTGGACGTGGACCGTGGACGTGGACGTGGACGTGGACGTGGACGTGGACGTGGACGTGGACGTGGACGTGGACTTGGACGTGGACGTGGACGTGGACGTGGACGTGGACGTGGTCGTGGACGTGGTCGTGGACGTGGACGTGGAGGTGGACGTGGAGGTGGACGTGGACGTGGACGTGGACGTGGACGTGGACGTGGTCGTGGACGTGGACGTGGACGTGGATGTGGACGTGGACGTGGACCTGGACGTGGACCTGGACGTGGACGTGGACGTGGACGTGGACGTGGACGTGGACCTGGTCGTGGACGTGGACGTGGACGTGGACGTGGACATGGTCGTGGACGTGGACGTGGACGTGGACGTGGACATGGACGTGAATGTGGACGTGGACATGGACGTGGACGTGGACGTGGAGGACTTGGAGGTGGACATGGACGTGGACGTGGACGTAGACGTGGACGTGGACGTGGACATGGACGTGTACGTGGACATGGACGCGGACGTGGACGTGGACATGGTCGTGGACGTGGACGTGGACATGGATGTGGACGTGGACGTGGACATGGACATGGACGTGGACGTGGACGTGGACATGGACGTGGACGTGGACGTGGACGTGGACGTGGTCGTGGACGTGGTCCTGGACGTGGACGTGGAGGTGGACGTGGACGTGGACCTGGACGTGGACGTGGACGTGGTCGTGGACGTGGTCGTGGACGTGGACGTGGACGTGGAGGTGGACGTGGACGTGGACGTGGACGTGGACGTGGACGTGGACGTGGTCGTGGACGTGGTCGTGGACGTGGACGTGGACGTGGACGTGGACGTGGACGTGGACATGGACGTGGACGTGGACGTGGACGTGGACGTGGACGTGGACGTGGACGTGGACATGGTCGTGGACGTGGACGTGGACGTGGACGTGGACGTGGACGTGGACATGGTCGTGGACGTGGACGTGGACGTGGACGTGGACATGGACGTGGACGTGGACGTGGACATGGACGTGGACGTGGACGTGGACGTGGACATGGACGTGGACGTGGACGTGGAGGACTTGGAGGTGGACATGGACGTGGACGTGGACGTGGACGTGGACATGGACGTGGACGTGGACGTGGACGTGGACGTGGACATGGACGTGTACGTGGACATGGACGTGGACGTACGTGAACATGGACGTGGACGTGGAGGACTTGGAGGTGGACATGGACGTGGACGTGGACGTGGACGTGGACATGGACGTGGACGTGGACGTGGACGTGGACGTGGAGTGGACGTGGACGTGGACGTGGACGTGGACATGGACGTGGACGTGGACGTGGACGTGGAGGTGGACGTGGACATGGACGTGGACGTGGACGTGGACGTGGACGTAGACTTGGACGTGGACGTGGACGTGGACGTGGACGTAGACTTGGACGTGGACGTGGACGTGGACGTGGACGTGGACCTGGACGTGGACGTGGACGTGGACGTGGACGTGGACGTGGACAGGGACGTGGACGTGGACGTAGAGGACTTGGAGGTGGACATGGACGTGGACGTGGACGTGGACGTGGACATGGACGTGTACGTGGACATGGACGTGGACGTACGTGAACATGGATGTGGACGTGGACGTGGAGGACTTGGAGGTGGACATGGACGTGGACGTGGACGTGGACGTGGACATGGTCGTGGACATGGACATGGACGTGGACGTGGACGTGGACGTGGACATGGTCGTGGACGTGGACGTGGACGTGGACGTGGACATGGACGTGGAGGACTTGGACATGGACGTGGACGTGGACGTGGACGTGGACGTGGAGATGGATGTGGACGTGGACGTGGACGTGGACGTAGACTTGGACGTGGACGTGGACGCGGACGTGGACGTGGACGTGGACGCGGACGTGGACGTGGACATGGACGCGGACGTGGACGTGGACGTGGACGTGGACGCGGACGTAGACGTGGACATGGACGCGGACGTGGACGTGGACATGGTCGTGGACGCGGACGTGGACGTGGACATGGACGCGGACGTGGACGTGGACGTGGTCGTGGACGTGGACGTGGACGTGGACGTGGACGTGGACGTGGACCTGGACGTGGACCTGGATGTGGACGTGGATGTGGACGTGGTCGTGGACGTGGTCGTGGACGTGGACGTAGACGTGGAGGTGGACGTGGACGTGGACGTGGACGTGGACGTGGACGTGGACGTGGACGTGGACCTGGACGTGGACGTGGACGTGGACGTGGACCTGGAGGTGGACGTGGACGTGGACGTGGACGTGGACGTGGACGTGGACGTGGACATGGACGTGGACGTGGACGTGGACGTGGACGTGGACCTGGAGGTGGACGTGGACGTGGACGTGGACGTGGACGTGGACGTGGACGTGGACGTGGACGTGGACGTGGACGTGGACGTGGACGTGGACGTGGACATGGTCGTGGACGTGGACGTGGACGTGGACGTGGACCTGGACGTGGACGTGGACGTGGACATGGACGTGGACGTGGACGTGGACATGGACGTGGACGTTGACGTGGACGTGGACCTGGACGTGGACGTGGAGATGGACGTGGACGTGGACGTGGACGTGGACTTGGACGTGGACGTGGACGTGGAGATGGACGTGGACGTGGACGTGGACATGGTGGTGGACGTGGACATGGACGTGGACGTGGACGTGGACATGGACGTGGACGTGGACATGGACATGGACGTGGACGTGGATGTGGAGGACTTGGAGGTGGACATGGACGTGGAGTGGACGTGGACGTGGACGTGGACATGGACGTGGACGTGGACGTGGACGTGGACGTGGACGTGAACGTGGACATGGACGTGGACGTGGACGTGGACATGGACGTGGACGTGGACGTGGACATGGACGTGGACGTGGACGTGGACGTGGACGTGAACATGGACGTGGAGGTGGAGGTGGACGTGGACGTGAACATGGACGTGGAAGTGGACGTGGACGTGGACGTGGACGTGGACGTGGAAGTGGACATGGACTTGGACGTGGACGTGGACGTGGACGTGGACGTGGACATGGACGTGGACGTGGACGTGGACCTGGAGGTGGACGTGGACGTGGACGTGGACGTGGACGTGGACCTGGACGTGGACGTGGACGTGGACGTGGACGTAGACGTAGACGTGGACATGGACGTGGACGTGGACGTGGACGTTGACATGGACGTGGACGTGGACGTGGACGTGGACGTGGACGTGGACATGGACGTGGACGTGGACGTGGACATGGACATGGACGTAGACGTGGACATGGACGTGGACGTGGACGTTGACATGGACGTGGACGTGGACGTGGACGTGGACGTGGACTTGGACGTGGACGTGGACGTGGACGTGGACGTGGACGTGGACATTGACGTGGACGTGGACGTTGACGTGGACGTGGACGTGGACGTGGACGTGGAAGTGGACGTGGTCGTGAACGTGGACGTGGACGTGGACGTGGTCGTGGACGTGGACGTGGACTGGACGTGGACGTGGACGTGGACGTGGACGTGTGGACGTG